GACTCAGGTGGGAAGAGAATGCTTTGAAAATGATGATGGTGGCATATGTGCAGTGTGCTTGACACATTGGAGGAATGTATGGATTGTGATAAGCGTTGTAAGAGCCCCCAATAATATGATTCAAAAAAAAAAAAGAAATTTTATGAAACGTAGTTTCTTTTTCCTTGGCAACAGGAAAAGCAAAATAAATGAATAAAAAATAAAACACGAACACATTTTAGAATATTGTATGTTGTAAAAATATTACCACTTGAGAGAGGGGGATTTTGGTCAGGATGACAGAGTGAACACGTGGGAAATTTTTCCCTGAGTGCAAAACAAAAAGAAAATTAGAGAGAAATATAATTGTACAATAATTGTAAGTATAGTGGCGTCTGAGTCTGAATGATATATGTTTTCTTTGAACTCAGATTTTTAGGTTCTGGTAGTTCAATTGAGATAGCATCAGTACTCAAAACACAATCAAGCGGGGGCTCAGAACTTGCTGAGATTTCTAAAACTCCAGACTGCTGGTTTAGAAATATCCCAGAAAGACCACAGAACGGGTTCCGTTTGATTCTCAACTGCATAGGATCTTGTATAAAGAAGATGCATGGACTGGTGGGGATGTTCACAGCTTTGCTAGGGAAGAGATTGGAAAGAAGTGGATGCTTCTTGAACGTGGGCTTCCCTTCTTTTTCAGGCTCTTCTTCGGATGACCTGCACGTTCTTCACCCCACCCTCTCACAGGCACTAGCTGTGCTTTCTCATAGCCCCGTGACCCTGGAGTGTGTAGTCAGGGGGGTCCCCGCTTCGCAGGTGTACTGGCTGAAGGATGGCCAGGATGCTGTGCTGGGAAGCAACTGGAGACGATTGTATTCTCATCTTGCCACGGATAGCATTGACCCACTGGACTCCGGAAACTATTCCTGTATGGTGGGAAACAACAGATCGGGAGACCTAAAGCATGTAACTTACATGGTGAATGTTCTTGGTAAGATATTATTTGCTACATGGTTATTGTGTGCACCCCACCCAGCTATTTTGCTGTTCTACTGGATGTTTGAGTTTATTTGTAAGCTGAAAATTAAACGGGATATCTGGAAATATCTATATGGGTAGCAGGACAAGCTTTTGCTTTTCTTGAGGTCGTTAAATGAGTGTTTTGGAGTGGCACAGAACATCCTGTCTCATGAGATCCTCTTGGGAACGTCACCAGTGACAGCACAGAACTTGGCCTCTGTTCATTTCATGCAGGAAAGGGACTGGAAATAGTAGGATAACGAAGATATTCTAGGCTCTGATAGTCTGTAGTATCCAGGAGGCTTAAGAAATATATAGTACTGACTAGGAAATACCATCTGAAAAAGAAATGTTTTATCTCCACCACCCCCCTTTATTTTTTTTGCTTTTGAAATACTTTCCCCTGTATCTAGCTCACATTTAGGCTCATAAAATTGGCGCGCGCATACACACTCCTTCCCCCATTGCAATATAAAGAGCCCTGGTGGTATAGAGGTTACGTGTTGGACTCCTAACTGCAAGGTCAGCAGTTCAAAACCACCGGCTGCACTGTGGGAGAAAGATGAGGCCTTCTACTTCTGTAAAGAGCTACTGCCTCAGAAACCCAAAGGGGCAGTTCTACCCTAGCGTATGAGGTCACGATGAGTTGGAATCCACTTGATGGCGGCAAGTTTGGTTTTTGGCTACATTGCAATATCTATTCTCTCTCTCAGGGGTGATTCTTTTCTTCAAGCTATCTAGGCCACTGTCTTATGAGTGTTTCCTCTTCCAAGCATTTTCATGATAACCAGAAGAAGAGTGAATAGGAAGTAGAATCACAGAAATAAAATTTTTGTAGATTCCCCTACGCGTGTTTACTTTCAACACTGCTCTAATGTCTGCCAGCAGCAGTGAAATTAACCTGAGTGTATATGGCAAGTAGCTCTTAAAATTTTGTGGGAATCAGGATTGGGTTAGTACATAGAATCTTTTGATTGGGTGACTTTGCAGGATTTCAAGGAAGTTTTCTGTTACGGAAAAGGCATAGGAGGGGACATCTCACCTCCTTTGACTTAACAAGTGTCAAGGAGAATCAAACTCCATATTGGTCAAAGGCCAATTCTTAATAGGGAGGGATCAGATGGACATGCTTCCGTCCTTCAACCTTCTTTCCCAATTCTGACCCTCCTGCAGCAGGATCTCCTTTGATGGGTTCGAGAATTCATTTGTAGTGGCCATACAAGACTCGCAGACCGCACGTAATTAAGATTACGGGCCATGTTAGGGAAGGTAGCAGCTTACAATTCAGGATCAGAAATACTCAGAAACACAGTTCTTGTCAGGACAGCCTTTTCTCGGTGATGCCGCAGACATGGCCCTTGGCCTCTCAGGCAATGAATGACTCTTTGGCCATTGTCCTGGTCTGGCAGTGTTACAAAGCTCCTTTATATTTGCAGATAAATGCCCAAAGGAAATTCCACGCTGCCATAGCTTTAGCCTAAACACTCTCACTCTAGCTCTGTGACCCAGCAAACTTAGCTCCCCTAGTTAAGTGTACGGAGGCACCCCACTCTGCCAAAGAGCCTCCTACCCAAAGGCACTCAGCTTTCCTCCCTCCTTGGGCCAGGAAGTGCTCTGTCTCGTGTGGTGTCTCTGCTGCTGCCACTCGGCCACTGGACCACAGCCTTCTGCCGCCGCGTTGAGGTTTGAAATACACACTCCAGTCCAGGCTCTTCTCTCTGATGTTTGTGAGAATCCCCTCCCCGATTCTGACATGGCTCATTGTAAACATAGCCGAGTGGCAAAACTAAGCCCTGGCTGCTTAGACTTCCAGGTTTTTACAATCATAGCGCCACCAGAGCAGCGTCTTTCCCCACCCTTTGTTGCCCAGACCCGTGAGGAAAAAGACATTTAGTGGAAGTTCCACAGATTGTGGCTAGAAGAACCATGTCAAGCAATTCACTGTGCCACAATTGCACACCTCATCTCAAAGGAAAATTGACCTTTGAGTAAGCATTGTTCTCTTGTTCAGTGTGAAATTCTTGATTACTGTGAAATTCTGGGAAGCGGCCTTTATTACACACAACGGCCTGAAACAAATGCTGATGCAAGCCCAGGGTTTGAAACTATTTACGCCTGTGTAAATATCTGTATGTGTGTGAGTGGTATATGAATGAGTGGGTGGAGAGGTATAAAAGAGACTATAACTTATTAGTAACATACGGTTTAGTTCATTAGAGGAAAGTTAAAACTCATTTCTAAATTTTCTTGATGAGCACAGCAGATGGGAGAATATGAATAAATAATGCAACTCGGTTTCAACCTGGTTGTTGGTATAGAAAATATTTTATATGATTCATGTAACAGTCTAAAAAGCACATCTTGAGGATTAGAGTTTACTGTGTGTTTTATTTTCAGAACATGCTTCAATTTCCAAAGGACTGCAGGACCAAACGGTGTCTCTGGGTACCACAGTACATTTCACCTGTGATGTTCATGGCAACCCAGCCCCCAACTGTACCTGGGTTCACAATGCAGAGCCTGTTTATCCTTCCCCACGACATCAAACGGCAGGGAATAAGCTGCAGATCAGTGGAGTTACCTTGGAAGATTCTGGGCTGTATCAGTGTATTGCAGATAATGGGATTGGATTTATGCAATCTACGGGGAGACTTGAAATAAAAAAAGGTAGGCTTTTAGGTCATGTCGTATAGGACATTTTTCTCCCTTGTTAGACTTTTTTGTTGTGTGGGTTAAGAATTGGATTCTTTTTATTTGCAGAAAATAACCTTACCAATGTAACAGAACTGTATTCATTTTGTTTTTTTTCCCTAGTTTCATATAGGTAATTCCTTTTGAAGTTCATTTAAAAACACTTAAAAAATTCTTCTCAACAGATGCTATGTAGTTTGAAGACTGAAGACTGTGGTAAAAGGTCCGACTATGTCCTATAGGCTTGTTTTGAAGTAATTTGAGCTTCTGTTGAATATTTTTCTTCCATCCACATGGGTTCAGGGAGCTCTGGTGGCCTAGTGAATTATACATTGAGGTCAGCAATGTGAACCCACCAGTTGTTCCCGTAATGGTTTAAAGTCTTGGAGACCCAAAGGGATAGTTCTATTCTGTCATGTAGGGTTGATATACAATGGAATCTAATTGATGGTGGCGGGTTTTTATCAGTTTCCATCTCTTGCCATCCTGATTAGAGCTAGACAGCATCTAGTTTTCCTTGTCTCTGGGTGGATGAGATAGTGGTTCATGTAGGTTATTAGTCCTCTAGAGACTAGCTTTGTCTTTTCCCCACTTTTCTCTGGATGAGTGAGAGGCTTCAGTTGTATCTTAGATGACTGCTCATACACTTTTAAGATCCCATATACTACTTATAAATCTAGAATGTGAAAAAGAACGTAATGAATGATATGCCAATTGACCGAGATGTCTCATGAGACTATGGTCCTTATCCTTCAAACCCAGAAATCTAATCCCGCAAGCATTTGGTTGTGTGAGAAGTGCCTATAACTGTCCCTGTGTATTTTGTATATGACATATGTAAGGAGCCCTGTGGGTGTAGTAGATTACACATTGGCCTGCTAACTATAGGCCTGCAGTTCAAAACCACAGCTGCTCTGAGGGAGAACGATGAGGTGTTTGCTCCTCTAAAGGTACAGTCTCAGAAACCCACAGTGACAGTTTTGTTCTGTCTTAGAGGGTCAGTGTGAGTCAGAATCCACTTGATGGCGGTGAGTTGTGATATCTGCATATCGTCACATGGATGCACATGCGCTTATACATGCTCACAGCCTCTGACACTCTAGGAGCAGTTCTGTCTGCACCGTAAGATCCCTCCGACTTGTACTCAGCTCCATGACGGTGTGCTGGCTTTCGGTCTTGTCTAAATCTATGCCTCCATCTGTACATACATAACTGTGTATCTGTTAATTGATTTTTATTTGCTGTTGTTCAGGCACTATTAGCTTGATTCTACAATTACAAAAAGATGGTATGAAAAAGGAAAATTAAAAGCCAGTCTCAATTATGAACACAGGTGTAAAAATCCTAAAAGAACACAAATATGAACAAGCCAGCATAAAAAAGAAAACGTATTTTGACCAAGAAGTCATCCCGAGATTACATTAGACAATTTAACTTGTCAGTAATCTTTCTTACTAAATAAGACAGAAAAGCAATTTGATCATCTCACCAGAGGCAGAAAAACATTTGGCATAATTTAATATCTATTCACGCTAGACACTCTGAAAAGTGTGGAAGAATAGTAAATCTGCGTAGGAAATGTCTTGTAGCCTACAACCAAGAAAAGTGTTACCTTTTATTGGCATTTTTAGTTGGCAAAAGTTGAAAAGGGATCATGCCTTTGCTCTAATTATATGTACATAATAGGATAAACTTATTTTGCATTGTATGTAGTATGATATTCTTAATACTTTTTTTATATGAATTCCTTCTTTAATAGACAGTGGGTTCAAGCCAGTTATACTTACAGCACCAGCAAGTTCAAAGGTGGTGGATGGAGACATTGTTACTTTGTCCTGCAATGCCACTGGACTGCCTCTTCCAGTCATTCGTTGGTACAATAGCCACGGATTGATAAGCAGCCACCCATCTCAAATCCTTAGATCCAAATCCCAGAAATCACATGTAGTGAAACCTGAGGCCATTAACCTGGAACCTGCTTACTTCGTCATGTCCCGAGCTGGCTTAAGTTCTCTGTATATTCAGGCTGCCACTCAGAAGCATTCTGGGAAATACATCTGTGAAGCTGTCAATGAGCACGGTGCTGTGCAGTCGGAAGCATTTATCACAGTTGGTAAGTGGCCGTTGACTTTTTTCTCCTAGTTCACTATTTCTTTTTTTTTGGTGTAGTATGAGATAACAGGTTATGAAATATATTTTAATTAACCCAGCAATCTCTAAATAACTATTGTTTCCCTAGACAACGGTGAAATATAGAGCCATACATTCTGTTTTGGGGGGCTTAGGTAAATCAGATGAACCTTGGCTTTCAGCCTTTATGTGGTTGTTCAACTTGTAGTTATCTCTGACGCTCTCATCCACAAGCAGGCTCAAGATAGGACTTGGTGTGTGTGGGTAGGGCTTTTAGCTCTCTTTCTTTTTTGAGCATTTTATTGTGGTTTGGATGAAGGTTTACAGAGCACATGTGTTTCTCATTCAACAGTTTGTACACATTTTGTTTTGTGATGTTAGCTACAATTCCCTCACTTTAATAGCACCCTTCTTACTTCCTCCCTGGGTTCCCTGTCTATTCCTTCTCCTTTTCTAACCCTTCTAAACTTCTCCGTGTATTTGTGGGCAGATGCTGCCCATTCAGTTTTATGTGGCTCCTTTTGAGAAGTAGATTCCTCGCAGGTGTTACCATTTATTTTATAGGCCTGTCTGTTGTTTGGTTGTACGTGACCCCTGAAGGGTGGGTGCTGTCCCACCAGGCTTGAAGGGCGTCTGAGGGCTATTGTCTTGGTGGGGGTTCCACAAGTCTTCATCAGCCCAGTAAATCTGGTCTTTTAAAAAAAGTTTGTTCTACTTTTGATTTTTCTTTTACAGGCATCTAGTTTTGTCAGCATCGTTTGTCGAGAGACTGTTCTGTCCCCGTGGAATGAACATGAGGACTTCGTGGGAGGTCCACCTCTTCATAGTTGATGGATTTATGTCTGAACTTTCCATCTGTCCCCGTGGTCTGCTGTGTCTGTTGAACCCGTACCACGCTGTTCCTCCTACTTGTTTCCTTCTCTTTCCTTTCCATCTGAAGCTGAAGATGAGTGTTCCCATTGTGTTAAAGAAGGCAGTTGGAATTTGAAGTGGGGCTGTATTATGTTGATAATTCTCTCTGGAGAGCCCTTACGTTTTCCCAACGTTGTCTTCCTATTCGTGGCCTCAGCGTTCTACTTCCACCAGGAGTCACGTCTTAGACTCACGGCGGCAGTTCTACCCTGCCCTACACGGTCACTATCAGTCAGCATCGTCTGCATGGCAGTGTGGCTTTTTGTTTGTTTTTTAACAATTCTGGTAAGATTCATTTCTAAGTATTCTGCCTCTTCACGGTGTATTGTAATTGGTATTGTTTTCCTAACTTTCTTTTTGAAATTTTCTTTGTTTATGTAGAGGAATGCAACTGATATTTGTAGGTTGCATGTATATTCTGCTACTTTGCCGAAACCTTCTATTAGTTTAGTAGCTTTCTGTGGAATCTTGGGGATTTCCTACGTATGCTCTCATATCTTCTGCAAACAGGGATTGTTTTACTTCCTCCCCACCAATCTGAATATGCTTTGTTTCTTATCTTGCCTTATTGCTTTAGCTGTACCTTCCAGCATCATGTTGACTAAGGGGACAGTATAATGTTCCCAGGCTCTCTGGGAATGCCTTCAGTTTCTCTCCCTTGGGAATAATGTTGGCTGCTGGTTTTGTATAAATGCCCTTTATTATGTTGAGGAGTTTTAGTTCTATTTCCTATTTTACTGAGTTTTTGTAAGGAACGAGCATTCGAATTTATCAAATGCCTTTTTGGATGGATTGAGATCATGACATGGTTCTTTTGGCTTATTTATGTAGTTGGTTTTATTGATAGATTTTCTAATGTTGAGCCGTCTTTTCATGCCTGGCATGAATCTCACATGATACATTTTGTATGTATGTGTATGCTTAACCACTTTTAATGATGAGATAAGACTTAAGTAGAGATCTTCAACCAGTTTGAAAGCCATTGAGGCAAGTAAATACTGTTTCCCCGAAAGTAAGACATCCCCCGAAAATAAGACCTACTTACAGTTTGCCTCTTGCTGAAATATAAGGCATCCCCTGAAAATAAGACCTCCCTGAAAATAAAGCCCCCCAAAGCTACCATAACTCTGGACTCTGGACCATAGCGGTGGGCGCTGCCACGCAGCTCACTGTTGGCTGCAGCGCAGCCGGAGCCGACAGAAAGTGTGAGGTCTCTTTCAATAAAACAATAAACAATAAATGTGTACCATATTCTTCTTCATGGAAAAATAAGACCTCCCCTGAAAATAAGACCTAGCGCATCTTTGGGAGCAAAAATTAGTATAAGACACTGTCTTATTTTGGGGGAAACATGTTATTAAGCAAAAAGCAGCATTAAAGCCTACAAGTCCCTTTTGGGAAGTGGGGGGGACTCTGGTCAAGTCCTTATGAATTTATTTGCACCCTTTCCTCAAATGTAACCTCCCTCTCATCAGAAACCAAACCACTGCCATTGAGTCAGTACTTACTCATAGTGCCTCTATAGGATGGTTAGAACGACCCCCTGTGAGTTTCTGAGACTGTAACTGTTTATGGCAGTAGAAAACCCAGTCTTTTTCCCAAGGAGCTTCTGGTGGTTTCGAACTGCCAACATTTTGGACTGTAGCCCAATGTGTAAACCTTTCTGCCACCAGGGCCCCTCAACCTCTAGCCTTCATTTTATTGCTGCACACTCCAGTACTTCAATTACACTTAACGAGTGTTCGCTCAAATGGCAGATAAATGTGAAATCAACTCTGTGGTTTCCATCTTAGACATCCTGTCTGCTCCCTGTCGTTCTCCCGCATACTGGCACCATCCTATCCTGAGTGTAACCATCATAATTGTGCTGGGGGGGAATTCAGTTCCAGACATGATGAGTATCCAAGGCCATGGTCTCAGGGGTTGTACCAGTTTCTCTCTGACCAGCAAGCATGATCCTTTTTCAGATTTCTGAGTTTTGCTTCACGTTTTTCTTTCACTCTATCCAGGACCTTCAAGTGTGAGCCCTTTCAAAGCAGCAGGTAGTAATAGGCACCATCCAGTTGGGGTCTTAGGGCTGTGGCGATTGATGTTTTGATGGTCCATTCATATATTGAGCAAATTATGATCACCCGTCTTTGGTTTTTATTGCTCGTAGGTCCTTTAGACAGGGACAAAACAATACATGGCCACTCACAAAGCTTTAGACTAAGTTGCTACACATCAAAGTAGAATGTAGAACATCGTCTGTGTGGACTGCGTTATGCCAGTGGACCTTGGTATTTCTGGAGGCTAGGGTTCTGAGGCCCCAGGTCCAGGGACTAGTTCCCTGCAGGAGTTTTCATGTCTTTGCCCGTTTGCACCTTCACATTCGTGGGTGCGTTTGCAGCAGAGTAAATAACGCATGTCCAGATATCCTGTTGTCAAACGTATGTATTTGTGGTTATACTTCCACTTTCCCTCCTGCCTCCATTCCGCTTGCATGTCTGTCTGCATCTCCATGTAGACCGCCGTTCTTTCAGGATCGTGAGTTTAACAGGATCTGACCATTGCTTCAACTCGTGCACTCATCCCAGTCTCTTCCTTTGCTACCGTCATTTTTTGCCGTTGACCATGACATTCAGTTTTTGCGTCTGTAGTCCTGGAGGTTGTGCGTCCACTCTTCTTCTTGGTGTGGCATCTCTGATGGGCTTTGGTTCTAGGGTCAAGCTGGCTTCGTAGGTGGATTTTGAGAGTATTCCTTCCTTGTCTCCGGTCTGGAATCGTTTGAATATGACCGGTGCGTGTTCTTTTCTGAATGTTTGATAGAATTAGCCAGTGGAAACCATCCAGGATGAAGCTCCTTGTTTAAATATACACTTCAAATGACCTCTTCAATCTCTTCTCATGCATTGGTTCAGTTGCTCTACCTCAGTTTGCGTTAGGTTAGGGGGTTGTGCCCTTGTAGAAGATGTCCTTTGTTCATTTCCTCTAGGTTTTCATATTTGTTAGAGTATGCTTTTTCATAGGATCCTGTTAGGACCCTTGTTGATAGATTCTCTTGCAGTGTTATCTATTTTGTTTCTTTTGTGGGTTGTTTGCTTCTGCTTTTCTTTCGTCTGTTTGGTCAGTGGTCTGTTGATTTTTTTTTTTTAATTGATTCTTTAAAAGAACCAACTTGTAGTCTCTGGTATTCTTTCTGTTGTTTTCTGTTCTGTGTTTCCTTTGTTTCTGTTCTAATCATTAGTATTTCCTTTCTTGTGGGATGGTGGGCATCTTCTGCTGCTGTCTTTCTGGTGGTTCTGATTGTTGGCTTCATACATTGATTTTGACCCTGCGTTGATTAGTTTAGTCTGATTCCATGAAGGTGCTTCTTCCCTTGTGACTCATCTCACTAGTGTGGACACACTAAGCCAAAGAGCAGTGGGAAGATGGTCTTGTGCAGGGGGGTGGTAGGCAAAGCTTAGATGTGTGCAATGATCTTTGTGTCTGCAGGCACACTGGGACCTTCAAGCTCTGAATGCAGTTGGAGGTGAAAGAGTCTAATGTTTACTGCTGTTTGTTAGATTAAGGGCCCCTGATGGCACAGTGAGTTACACTTTAGGCTGCTAGTGCCAAGTTCAACAGTTCAAAGCTACCAGCTGCTCTGAGGATGAGGCTTTCTACTCCTGGCAAGATTTACAGTCTCGGAACCCCCTAGGGGTAGTTCCACTCTGGCACTGGGAGTCAGAAGGAATGGGATGGCAGTGACTTGGCTGTTAGGTAAAAGTGCCCTGGCGGTGTGCTGGGAGCAGGAGGGGTCCACTTGGAGTCAGCATCACTCGCTGTGACTGTATGACAGTGAGCTTGAGGGTGGTGTGTTGGGTTAAGCATTAAGGTGGGAACTGCAAGGTCATAAGTTAAAACCACCATGTCCAAGGGAGAATGATGAGGCTGTCTGCTCCTGTAAATATTTAAAGTCTCGGAAACCCTGGGGGACAGTTCTACTCTGCCCAAAAAAGGCCGGAATCCACTTGGTGGTAGTGGGGTTTTGTTTTATTAGACTGCAATTCTAGTCCCTCGCATCAAAAGAAGGAATCATACCTTGTGCTCAGGGAAGGAAGAAGTAGTTACTGATTTTAGTAAGCTTAAGAATCTGCAGATAAAGGAGTTGGTGGAATATTGTATACATTTGCACACATAGGAGGGTGAGTCAAAAAGTCTTGCTACAAACCATAAACCTCTTAAACAGAAATATAACTGCGTGAAATGTTTCTAACACGTGTTCCCTCTTGAGCTCTGTGCTGCTGAGAGAGGACTGTGCCCTTCTGAAAGGGTGCCCTCCTACCAGCTCTGCCCTGAAGAGTCCCATGCCCTCTGAGTCACGCCAAGGCTAAATGGCACTTGGGGGCTCCCAAGGAATTCATTTCTGCTCCTTTCAAATGCTTTTTGAGTTTGGGGAACAAAAAGAAGCCCACACGGGCAAGGTCAGAGCTATAGGGTGGGAAGGGTAAGGTTTCCGACAAAATCCTTTTGGGCAGCCCGAACTGCCCCTGGAGAGTGAGCAGGTGCATGGTCGTGAGAGGGAAAACTCCCGGGGACTCCTTTCCGGGCCGTTTTCTCACCGCGCGGTTTCCGTTTCCTGAACAGCTCCTTGTAAGAGCCCCTGTGACTGCCCGTGGTCTTTGAGAGTCCTCCTTTGGAGCCCCAGCAAGCAGTCAGCATGGCCTTCTGAGCTGACCTCTCTGCCCTGAATTTCACTGACCCAGCAAATGCCATTGCAGCCACTGCTGCGATGGGGCTGTTGTTCTGAAGGCACCCTAGCAAGACTAAGTGTCTTACGGAGAAATCTTGCCTACTGATTACAGAGACGTGGAAACTGAGGTTTGTTTGGAGTAAACCCAGGCATGTATGGACTGAAATAATACCTCCATAAGGTCTCTGAGATTTTTTTTACTTAACTCCATAAAGGTCTCCATGTGTTTTATAGCAGTACTTTTTGACTAGCCCTCGTGTTGCTAGTACATTAACTAACTAATTAAATAAATAATAGGCAAGATCTTTTTTAAATTGTTCAAATCCATATTTGTTTGATTTGACAGTAGCACCCCTAACATTCTTCTGCCAGCTGCTGTTTCTTAATGTCTTAGGAGGCTGTCTACCTAAAAATGTTCTTTTGAGGATTGAATGAGATCATGTTTGTTTAAGTATCTATCACAAGTTTGGATTTGGGGGTGGGGGGTGGGGATGAGCTATGTGCAAAAACCTTTTTATTTTTTCATGACAAAATTTGTATTTACCCTCTTCTGAATATTCTACATGCTTTTGGCAGTAGATAAAAGAAAGGCTAGTTTTATCTCTCTTTAGGTTGACAATTTTTAAGCCAGTGTTCAGTTTTATCCCAAAAGAGGACACCTTTTGGAAAGAAGTAAATGCTTTATGTGTGCTGGTTGTCAGTTTCATTTCCCCCTCTTCCTTGAATGTATCTTGTTTGCCATGCACGCAGTAGGCGTTTTAGTTATTTATTGCTGCATAACTACCTCACCAGTAGCTTAACAGAGCCACCCCCACCCCTACCCCTCAAGATCTTTTAACCAGATGCACCTGGTAATTCTGCTACTGATCGTACTTTGGGTCTATTATGCAGTAGTAACAGGTGGCTGCTGGTGCTAGAATATCCAGAGTGACTACTCACATGTCTCATTCCTTTGTGGGACTGGAAACATCTCTCTCTCTTCATATATATAATATATATTATATATATATATAAAATCGCTCTATCTATCTATCTATCTATCTATCTATCTATCTATCTATCTATCTATCTATCTATCTAATCTCAACCTGGCAAGAAGCTTGACCATCTATCTGTATGTTGTAGCTGGGTTCATAGAACACAAAAATGGAGCTGCCAGGCCTTCTAAGGCTTAAACGCTGCCTTCTATTATTTAACACAAATCTCAGGGCCAGCCTACTCTCAGGGGCACTGCCCAAGGGAGTGGATTCTGGGATATGTCTGTGGAAACTAGTTATCCAGTAGGTACTACTTCAGCTCGTAGCCATTTGATTTCTGTCTCTGTCACACGGTCCCAAAAGAATGTGTTACCCATTAGGTTTCATTTACCACATAGAATTAGCCTCATGGTCCCCGGGTTAAATCTGGTGAGGGGAAAGTAGCAAATTGTTCTTTCAAAAGAGGAATTCCAGCTAAGAGCAATGAAAAAATAGAATTGTTTGAACCACTGAGCCACTGCACCATGTGTTGGTTTTTCACATCATTCATTCGCTCCACCGTGAACAAGAGGTTGCCACTGACATTTGATGTCTCTACAAATGATAAATCAAAATGTTTAACTTCTAGAGCTCAAAGTATGCTTGAAATGTGTGACTGTGTAGAAGACCCTGAAATGATCAAGTGTTTTTCAAGCCATGTCTTGTCCCTCTCCCTCTGCAGTTCCTTTGGAAACAGACCCAAAGGCAGAAACAGTGACACTGTCTGATGCTACTCAGAGTGATGATGGAGGTAAAAGCGTTGGCTCAGACACTGGGTTATTAAGCTCATCTCCATTGAAGTCACATTCCAGCAGAGCCGAATCGTCACCAGAGAAAAATGCTAGTCGTACCTCTGTTCCCGATGCCCCCGTTATCCTGAGCCCGCCACAGACGCATACGCCAGATACCTACAACCTGCTCTGGAGGCCTGGCAAGGATGGCGGGCTTCCAATCAATGCCTATTTTGTGAAGTATCGAAAGGTAACGTCGTCTCCTTTATCATCTTTTAGTCAACACTATTTATATAAACACGCTCATTTTACCTTTGCTGAGTGCTAGGGTAGAACAAGAAGCTGAGCTTGTGAGAAGTATGCCAGAAATCATGTTGGGTTCCCTGATCTTATAAAAGCGCAATGAAGGAAATCTAAATAAAACCCTCCCAAAATTGCGAGCTGAGAACTCAATAACTTCTTGCTATTCTCTAGCAAACATGTTAACTTCTTGGGTATAAACCTCGAAAAACCACTTAAAAATAATAATTTCTTCTCTTTAAACAGTAAAATGCAGATTCTCTAGCAAACAGAATGATTTCTTATTAGAAACAACTGTTTGAGCAAAGTCCTGTGGTGGCATCGCTGATAGTGCTTTGCATTTCATGTTGCCTTCTTAATTGTCTGGGAGTCCCTGGGTGTGGCAAGTGGTTCATGTACTCAGTTGCTCCCCACAAGGTTTGAGGGTGCAGTCGATTCAGAGGCACCTTGGAAAAAAGGTCTGGTGATCTGTTTAGTAAAAGCAGCCATTGAAAGACCCGTGGAGAGAGCGCATTTCTACTCTGAGTCCCGATGAGTTGTTATCTCTGTGAGGTCAACTGGTTTTACTTCCTTAATTATATTAAAATCGTAGATTGTTTGGTCATTTATTTTTGTAAATCTTGGTTCTCTGTTAGTTGGTTTTGCAGGTAGCATTTTCCATTTATGAGCTTATGTTAGCGCAAAATGAAAAATCTCTTCTCTGTTCAATGGACGAATGAATGAAATGGAGTAATGTAAAAATGATATGGACGTGATGTCTTAACTTCACTAACTTCTCAAGGGAGAGAGAGAATCAAGACCAACAGCATCAGTAACCAAGGTTGACTCTTAGGAGGCACAAGCCACATACACCTGTACCCCTCTCCCACTTTTAAAATGAATATTGACATCACTTTTCTCCCTCATGGCATTTTCTGCTTTTTTTTGGCCGTGTTTGAGAGTTCCTTTCAACAGGCCATACTTATAGTTATGGGGTTTGTTAGGGAAGTAACATTCAAGATTGGGAATGTTCAGGATACAGTTCCTCGAACAGAATTGCCCTTCTCAGCTTGTGTCTGCAGGCATGCCCAACTCCCTCTGCTCTGCTAGGACAAGTATTACAGATCGTTTGTAAGTCTGTTGATACATGCCCAGAGGCACCTCACTCCGCCAGTAAGCATTGGTCTGAAGATGTTCAGTTCTAGTTGCATGGGCTAGCAAAACCAGTCCTCCCCATGCCCCTAGTATGTGCTCATGAGAACTCCATTCTACCAGCAAGTCTCTTGCCCAAATGCACTCAGCTTTCTTCTTCTGTGGGCCAGGAAGCCCTCTCCTCTGTTTCACACTCTGGGTTCTGCTCCATCTACAGTTGCTGTTTCTCTGACATTATTCTTGCTGTCTGTGTGTCTCATGGCTCTCTTGTCTTTTGGATTGAGGAGGTTCAGCCCAGGGAACTTAGGCCCCAAAGAGGTTCTTGACTCTTCTATTCTTCTTCCTTGGTGCTAATGAGACCTTCCTTTTCCATCTCTGGGATGGCTCATTTTAAGCCTAGTGGGATGATACAACTGACCAATCCACATGTTAGGGTTCCATCTGCCTTATTTGCCTGATTCCATCCCCACAAGGGTGCCATCTCCCTTATGTACATTATTAACAAGCTATTAGTCTCCTTGGTGGGCACCTCACATTGGCATATTCCTAACCACTCATTTGATAGCAGTTAAAAGGTTAGGCTAGACGGACCATAAATAATTCACTATGCTACAGAAGGCGATTTGCTTATAAATAATTGTCTTTATCCAAAATTTGTTTTGATATCTATCATTTCATTGTAATATTTGAAAGCTTATCCACTGTTTTCAATCTGATGATGCTAGCTATAGAAATGAAGTTTTACTAGTAGTCTTACCAACCTGAAACCTCCAGGTAATTCAACTCTTCTTTCTATTAACCATTGGATCCCTGGTGGCATAGTGCTAACCACTAGGTCAGCTGTTCAAAACCACCAGCCAGCTCCATGGTAGAAAGATGGATTTTCTACTCCCTTAAAGAATTTTGGTCTCAGAAACCAGCAAGGGCAGTGCTCCTGTGTCCTGAAGGCATGCCATGAGTTGGCATCAACTCAATGGCAGTGAATTTGTTTTTTGTTGGTTGGTTGGTTTCTATTAACCAAGACACAACCTATTAGATCTCTTTAATATATTTCCACCAACACATATTAATCAGAAATGATGTGCCAAGACATTAAGCAAGATGTTGGAAATATATGCAATACATCATCATACAGTAGACTGATTTTACAGAAACATATAATATATATTTTAATTTATCTTTTATTTTTTATATTACCATTAATTTATGTTATTTTAGTTGTTTTTTATTCTTCCATTAACTCAGTCAGGAAGGAGCTGTTATCGCCATTGTAAGTAAAGAGACTAGACTAGAAGGTAAAACAGCTTGCCTGAGCCCACAAGTTAATGGTAAGGGTCAAATCTTTTCACAGTGAGATTTCTTCAGGTTTTCATTCAGACACAGGTCTCCTTATAATTCCTATTGTAATTTTGTGTGCCTCTTACTGACGATGCCGTATCACTTTCCAACATTCATCTTGGATTAAATAAATTCAAATTGTATTAAATGTGTTGGCCAGATTTACCAAACCTGTTCCTAACAAGTTAATTTGAACTCATGACAACCCACGTGTGTCAAAGTAGAGCATCTCCTTAGAGTTTTCAATGGCTGTGAGCTTTGGGAATTAGGAGGCACCTTGAGTGGATTCAGTCCCCCATCCTCTTGTTAGTAGCTTAGTACTTAAACATTTGCCCTACTCGGGCACTCTCAAGTTTGAGCGAAAGGTTGTTCTGAGAGAAAAAAAAAGGAAGAAAACGATTGCTTGGCAGAAAATAAATAAATAAAATGAGAAGAAGCAGCGTTGTGCTGCTCTTCATCTTCTGTTTTCACGTTCGCTTTCTCCTGAGCAGCTCGACGATGCTGCGGGTGTGGTGGGAAGCTGGCACACAGTTCGAGTTCCAGGAAGCGAGAGTGAGCTCCATTTAACAGAGCTGGAGCCGTCCAGTCTCTATGAAGTTTTGATGGTAGCAAGAAGTGCAGCCGGAGAAGGACAACCGGCCATGCTAACCTTCAGAACTAGCAAAGGTGAGTATGATTTCCCTTAGGGGAAAGAGCTGGCTCTCCTTGATAATTTATAAGTAATTATCATGAGTCCCTATGGATAGTAGAAATTCTCATATATAAATTTATTAAGCATGCTAACTATAGTATTGGCCTTGGGTGGTGCATTCTACAAACATTTTGGTAACTTATGATATGTATGAGGGGGTACTCCCCCCCCAAACTATTGCTCATTTGATTTGTTTTTTATGTGAGGGGGATATGCATTTGTTCCACTAGGTCAGACTGTTAATCAGGCTTTCTATTGAGAGGTTCTGAAATGGTTGTGCAACAGTGTGTAACAAAAAAAGGACCTGGTTTGTGGCAGATGGGACAGGTTTTGCCCCTATGACAGTGCACCTGCTCACGCAGCCATCTCAGTGTGCCAGTTTCTGGCCAAAAAGCTGCATGCTTCTTTTGCCACATGCACTTTACTCACCTAGCCTCCCTTTGTGTGACTTTTTGTTTCTGGAAATGGACAAGGACATGAAAGGACAGTGATTTGATGACATAGAAGAGGTGAAGGAAAAAATGAGGGAGGTACTGTCAGCCATCCAAACAGACGAGTTTGAAAAATGCTTCCAAGAATGGAATTGCAGATTTGACAAATGCATTAAGTGTAATGGAGAGTACTTTGAAGGTGATAAGGTTATTTGTTTAAAAATAAACAAACCCAACTTTAAATACATAGCTTTGAAAAAACTTCTGGTTCTTTTGGGTTCCTCCCCCGTAAGATACTAAGGTGGGTGATAGTGGGAAAGCAAAGAAGACAAGGTTCATTTAATGGAATTTATTTTTTCTAAGGAAGCTAAGACACATGCATACATACCAATTACAAGGCAAAATTTAAATCAACGGACATTTACTGAATGTCTCCCGTGTGCCAGGCAAGATCTTTGGAGCTTCTGTTTCATTAGGGAGTGATTTATGTCCAAGTGATAAACACATTAGAAAGCGGTAAGTGACGCAGGAGGCATATGGGACTGGAGTTATCGTTTTAAGTTTAAAACTATAGTTATCGCTTTAAGCAGGTGGCTATAGCAGTTCTCATTGACGTGCGGTGGGTAGAAAGCCCTGCAGAGACCCAGGGAAAGAGCATTTTCAGCAGAGAGAAGAGCACGTGCACAGACCAGAAGAAGGCGGGAGGCGCTTGTGCGGGTTCCGTGGGCACGTCAGAGAGGCCAGTGTGGTAATAAGTTGGTTTGGTGGATTGATAAGACAATCCATTGTAGGGAAGCAAATGTGTCAGCAGAACTAGAAGGACAAACCGTGTGAGACGCCATAAAGAGAAGGCTAGAGGAACACAGGAGAACGTTCTCTCTGTGGGGAAGCTTGTGAGCTTAGGGTTATTTGAAAAAATCCATTATAGCTTGCTATTAAATAAGAAGATGTTCGTGGTAGAGATCGGAATTCAGTAGAAGTGTATTTGAGTATGACACGCTGATAAAAAGGAAGTATGGTGAGAGGGAAGAAAACTATTGGCTTTGAAAAGAAGGCCCTTTTGTCTAATTTTTGGGACTGCCCATTTTTTAAACGTATCTTGGGTTAATTTCCAAAATCAGTCCTTGGTCTTGCGTGGGGCCTAACCTGTGACCAAAACCAAACTACTGCCATCAAGTTGATTCTAACCCAGAGGAGCTCCAAAGGACGGAGTGGGACTGTCCGTTTGGGTGTCATCTGTCTACCGCTGAGTGGCCGGTGGGCTCGAACTGCACACCTTGTGGTAGAAGCTCACTGCATAGTGCATTACACCACCAGAGCTCTTTCTAACCTGTTTGCACTGGATAATAAGAATGGATTTGAATTCTTTTAAAAATTACTCAGCTTCACTTTTTAAAACTTTGAATAACTTACCTGTGAAGAAACTTAGTAGAAGCTCTTTAACAACACATTTTGTATTTTAGAGTTAAGAAATGTATATCATAAGAAACTTGTCATCTCTTGACTTCTCCATTTGTGGTGTTCTTTTCCATGTGTAAACTAAAAGTAGTATGTTAATGAAAGACACATAGTGGCTTTCCTTTAAAGGTACCAGACAAAGACATAGTAATTTGTTAAGGCAGTTCCTCAGATTTGTTAACTATGTATAATGTAAACCTTAAATTCAGACCCTGTTCAGATAAGCTCACATATTTACATCTAAATATTATTTTCTTGCTTTACATCTACATAAGCTATGTTACAGGATGTTTTTAAAAAACCATTTCTAGAGAAGGCAGCCTCAACAATGAACACCCAGGCATCTGCTCCGCCCGTGGGAGTCCCTAAGCACCCTGCTGACTCGGAAACGGCAAGCAACAACTTTGGAGTGGTGCTTACAGACTCCTCTCGACATAGTGGAGGTAAGGACCGTCTTCATGTTGTCCGTGTTGTTTGCTTCTAAGTGACCCAGACCTGCTCCAGATTATTTTGGGGTAGAGTCCTGTTTCAGTTTTTTGGTGTCTGTGTATTTAAGTTATAAACTCACATCAAAAGGTTCCTGGTACTACGGTTTTCTAACTTAGTAAAAGTTAAAGTTTTTGTTTGTTGTTGTTGGTAATCTGAGTAGTCTCATGAATTTTAAATGTCGTGGCAGCAGACATTTGTAAAACTGCTTTTTAGGGCTTCAGTTACACACGTATCAGTTCTATAATTGCAGCGGACCGTGCTTCTGATGATTGTGCTTCCGGGATGCTACATCTGGAAAAGACATGAGCCTTCATTGTGGAGATCTAAGAATTTTCAAGCTTTTCCGTTTATTGATAGTTTCTATGCATTACTTGTTGACAAATACTACAGCTTAGACCACAGAAATTAGAATTCCTCCGGAGAACTGCTTCTTAACAATAGGAACCTCTTTCACTTGATTCCATTCGCCTGTGAGGAACATATCAACTATCATAATCAGACTGTTTATGTAATAGCAATATGAGTAAATTATGTAAATTATGAGTAAGTTCTGTAATAGCAATCTGAGTAAAACTGACAGTGAGGAACAAAATAGTTCTTACTATTTATCAATAGTAATTTGACTAAATATTGGAACAGCATAGATTAGATAGTTCGTACCTTCAAGAAGTTTACAGTATAGTGGATGATACTGACAAAGCAATCGCAAAACTGTGTATTTTGGACAAACAGAGGGTAATATTAGTTAGTGATAGAATTCTCGCCTTCCATCTGGGATCCCTAGGCTTGCTTCCGCATACGTCGCTACCGCTTGTCTCTCAGTGGAGTCTTGCATGGAGCTGTAGTGCTTAAACAGGTGTCAGAAGAGCTTCCAAACTAAGAAGGACTTTGAAGAAAACCCTGGTGATTTACTTTTGAACACCAGCCAGTGGAAACTTTGGGGTCCATGTTCTCTTGTGCTGTGGTTGCCATGAGTCAGGGCCCATTGTGACAATAGCTAACAATGATTTTGACCAGTGGTTATTGAAATAGGAGTATTGTGATATCACAAGGGAAATATCTGTCACCCACATTGTATAGAAGAAAGTGAATTGGTATTAAGAAAGGCTTACTTCAGCTCCTAGCCCTAAACCTCACAAACAAGAACCATAAAGAAACAGAAAGAAGTGCTATAGGCACCGGCAGCTCCTCGGTCAAAGAGACAGATGAGTCGCATGTTAGATTTCACTTAGAGATTCGAGATTTCATTTAATGGGCCTGGGTGCTGAGGGACAGAAGGCTAGAGTGGAATAGGTGCCTTATATGAGTCACTTAGAATTTAGATTTGTTCTTAAAATCTATAAAGAACCCTAAAGGAGCTGAAGGAGGAATAACACATACTAAGATTAGAGAAATAAGGATAGTGTCATTGTGAATGGAGGAGGACCAATATGACAGACTAAGGGAATTGAGTCGATATTGAATGAGAGGGAGAAATGTGACTTGGGCAATTGACAATCAGGATTTAGGTTGTAACAGTTTTTAGGTGGAGATTATTGATTTAGTTTTAGAAATTAGAAGTTTCCATTTTTTAGGCAGTGATAGTTGTAAGAAGTTATTTATCTTAAGAAGGTAAATATTTTTAGTTTAATATTTACTTTTAATAGTTTGACTGGCATATAATTCATGTAGCATATATTCAATAGTTTAAATATATTAAAAGAGTTGTGATATAATCATCACAATCAATTTTAGAACGTTTAGAATATTTTTGTACCCATTATTATTAACTTCCCAATATCCCTCAACCTCTCCTGCCATAGCCATGTTACTATTAATCTAGTTACTGTGTCTATGAATTACCTCTCTTGGATTTCTATATAGAAAATTATGCAAAAAAACACCCAACAATCAAAAATAAAACACAGAAAAGCGTCAATCTGAGAGAAGGCAGACAATAATAGAAACTAGAACACATTTAAAATGGGTTAAAAGGGAAAACATGATGAGATGTTAAATTTTCACCTCACTCTATCTACAGTGACCCACTTCCCAATGCACTCTGTCTAAGGGCAAGACTGTTCCCGTCCCTGGTCATTGGCCGAGGAAGGGCATGCAGTAATCTGCATGGGGACTCTGTAAGTGGATTCTCGGCTTTCACTGTCATCCAAAGCCTTCTGTAAACCAAGTGCTAGAAATCTAAGCTCTAATACAATTCCCTTCTCTGATCTTGGATTTCATTATTTACAGTCCTTTGATCACATGGGCTGGTGTGCACCTTCCTAATGGACTAGTTGACACCTCACTTAAAGGACTGGTTGTTGTAAGACAAACCTTTAAGACCCCAGACACTTATTTCTGATAGGCAAGCACCATCTTCTTTCTTCAACACACTTTGCTATACATCCATATCTACATTAATCACTTTGTGAGTTCAGGGCAATTATTGAACAGGGCCACATCTTAATAACTAGTAGTTCTTAGATTAGGGTTTATGATTACATATGTGCTCGAAATCCGTTCATATATTTGGAATTTATGTATACCCCTGGTCTACCTTAGAGGCAGCATTATCAGTTTGTTGAGAAATAACCTCCATGAAACATTTGGTAATTCTAATAATAGCATAATTAATCTAACCAAAGGCATAGATTTAAAATACTATTGAGAAAAATAAAATACACACATATAGGAAAGCTTTTTAGACTAAAATATATGAGATGTTCATTTATACAGGTTAAAAACGTAAGTAACTGAATACTGTTTCCAAAGCAATGGTGGTTAGACACAAGGTTAAAATTTCTGTGGCATTCATTTACTAAGGCAAAACATTGTCTGCAGGACTAAGATGCCATAAAAAGTAGGAAAATGGCATGTATATGATAGTCTTAAGTTGCCATTTATTATTATTATTTGTGCATATAGGAAACCTTGGTATCTTTCAAAAAACCAGTTTTATTGACATGTATTTCACATATCAGACAATTCAATAGTTTCAACATATTTAAAAGAGTTGTGCAATCATCACAGCAATAAATTTTAGAATATTTAAAATTTAGAATATTTTTTTCATTGTCCCCATTATTAGCTCCCAAATACACTCCAACTTCCCTGCCATAACCCTAGCATATTACTAATCCAGTTATTGTCTTTATAGCTGTACCTCTCCTGGGTTTCATATAAAGAAAAGCATAGCAAAAAGGGTAGTGGGGAACAACCCAACAATAATAGCAAATTAAATCTATCAAAAATAAAAATTTCACTACAGAGGACAGCACTGAAGATACAGCCCGGGGAGAATGGCAGTTCTGCCCAGACCACACGGGAGGAAACTGAGAGGGAAGAGAGAAAGAGAGAGAGAGTGGACTGCATCCTGGCCCACCAAACCCAGAGGAGGACATTTCCTGCTCGGAGCAGCCACGGCAGAGAGGACCATAGGGCCGGCCCCATTATGAGCCATGATGTCCCCTCACTGACCCACGCTGCTGCAGGGGACAGCACTGGAGACGCTGTGGGAATTGTGCCTGGTCTGACCACCACTCCACAGCCACCCCACCCCTGCCACACAAACACACTCCAGGGCAAAACACAAAGTAAGCAGCAAGGGGAGCAAAGCAACATAATCCCGAAGAATCCTGAAAATGGACTTAAGACTTGGAGGGCAGAGCCTGGCACCTCATCAGACTCGATCAGAAAACATACATAAGGGTCAGCAGACAGACCTGGAAATATTTATAGGCTCCCCCCCCCCTTTTCATGTCTATATATAAGATAGGCAAGATATATAATCCAGAGGAAAAAACAACGGGACCCTACAGTTTCCAGGGGAAAAGGGGAGTGCGGGAGGTGGGGGAAATGGAGAGGGGAGCCAACAAACCCAGGGGCAAGGGAACAACAAGAGATCTAAAATCAATGGCTAGGAGGGCATAGAATGCCTGGTGGGGTTTGATCAAGTGCAATGTAACCAAGAGGAATTAGAGCCGAATGAAGGTCGAACATGATACTGGGACAGGAGAAAAAGAAAAGGAAATAGAGGAAAGAACTAGAAGGAAAAAGGCATTTATAGAGGTATAAATATAGTCATGCATATATGTAAATATATTAATATCTAATGATAGGGACATAGGTCTATGAACATATGTTTATATGTTAAGTATCAAGGTAGCAGACAGACATTGGACCTCTACTCAAGTCCTCCCTCAATGCAAGAACACTTTGTTCTAATAACCTGGCATTCTGTGATGCTCACCTTCTGGACGTGATCGCTGAGGTCAAAAGGGGTGCATAAGAAAATGTTGTGAAGAAAGCTGATGGTGCCCAGCTATTAGAAGATAAGGCATCTGGGGTCTTAAAAGCTTGAAGTTAAACAAGCAACTATCTAGCAGGAAAGCAACAAAGCCCACATGGAAGAAGTACACCAGCCTGTGTGATTATAGGACAATGGGATCATTGTTGATAATGGGATCAGGGATCAGGCATCAGAATACCCCAAATAAACGATGATATCAATGCAAACAAGTGGGGTCAGAGTGGAGACCCAAAGCCCATCTGTAGACAATTGGACATCCCCTCACAGAAAGGTTACAAGGAAGGGACGAGCCAGCCAGGCTGCATTATAGCACTGACAAAATACACAACATTCCTCTAGTCCTTTAATGCTTCCTCCCCCCACTATCATGACCCCGGTTCTACCTTGCAAATCCAGCTGGACCAGAGAATGTACAGTGGTACAGATAAGACACACGGAATCCAGGACAGATAAACCCCTCAGGAACAATAATGGGAGTAGTGATACCATGAGGGTGGGGAAGAAGGTGAGGGGAGGAGGAGAAAGGGGGAATTGATCACGGTGATCGACGTATAGCGCCCCCCTCTCAAGGGGACAAACAACAGAAGTGTGGGTGAAGGGAGAGAGTAGATAGTGTAAGATATGAAAATTTATATGAAAATTATATGAAAATAATAATTTATAATGTATCAAGGGTTCACAAGGGTGGGGAAGTGGGGAAGGAACGGAGGGAAGGAGGGAAAAAAGAGGAGCGTATACCAAGGGCTCAAGTAGAAAGAAAATGTTTTGAAAATGATGGCAACATATGTACAAATGTTTTTTATACAACTGATGTATGGATTGTTATTAGCACTGTAAGAGCCCCCCAGTAAAATGATTTATAAAAATAAATAAATCAGAAAACAATAAAAACCAGAACAAAGTTTAATTGGGTCAAAAGGGAGAACAATTGATAAGATGTTAAATTTTAACCTAACTACATCTGAGCTCATTCACTTTCCAGTGCGCTCTGATGCCAAGACTATTCACATCCCAGGTCGATGGTCGGAATGAATTCACCAGAGGCGTAACCCACATGGGGACTTTGGGCTTTCACTACCATCCATAACTGTCTATAAACCTTTTCCTCAAAATTTAAGCTCTAACTCACATATTATCAAACACCAAAGGACACACTTGAGCGAGAAATCTCTGTGTAAAAAGAATGTTGGCAAGGCTTTACCTGCAAACCAGTTCTCATCACTCACCAGAAGATACACCCGGGAGAAATCACTTGTGTTTATGGAATGCAGGTGAGACTTTATCCAAAAATCACATCTCCCCATACATCAGAGGACACACTCAGATGAGAACCCTCACGAAAGCAGAGAATGTGGGCGAGGCTAGAGTTGCACTTCAGATGATGCACTTGGAGAAGCCACATGTATGTTAGTCGTGTGGGCATGGTTTCATGAAAAGTCACATCTCCTCACACACCAGAGTACATACTCAGGAGACACGCAGCATGTGTGTAAGTGTGGGTGACATGGCTGTGGTCAAAAGTCACAGCTCATCAAACACTCAAGGATACGCTCAGGTGGGAAACCTCACATGGGCAAGGATTGTGGGTGATGAGTTAGCTCTGAGTCAACTGCCATCACACATCAGAGAGTAGAGTAGGGAGACTATGGAGCCCCAGGTATAAGGAGTGCAGGTGAGGCTCATTGGCGAAATCAAATCTTAGACACCAGAGGACATAGGAGATGCCACATTTGGTATTAAGAGTGTGGGCAAGGCTTTACTCACCAATCAAATTTTCTTTCCCAACAGAAGGCACACTTAGGAGAAGTCGCATGTGTGAAAAATGTGTGTGGGGAAGCTTTAGCTATAAGCAAAGACTCATTAAACATCCGAATCTTGCTCCAAAGGAGCCCCGTGTTTGCAGTGAATGTATCGGGGGTTTAGCTGTAATTTGCTCCTCATAAACCAGAGGGAATGGGTGCCAGGGGAATAGACAAGAATTAGGGGCAAATGCGTACTTCATTGTACCTCAGAGGATAGGTTTTTGTGGACAGGGAGAATGTCCATTGTTTTTAAGGTAGGCTATACTTCTTCTTGCACCAGAAGACAGGAGAAGAGTTGTGAGACGAGGATGTATGGAGGGAACTTGATTTCTGTGTCCTTTCTTACCTGGCATAGGAAGACAAAATGCTGCCAGCACAAATCAGGCCTTCGTCTACCTGTGAAAGAGAAATCTGGCTGCCTATGTTCTGAATAACAATAAAGGTAGTGAGGAATTACACAAATGTTTGTGTTCTGTAACCAAATGGAGTAAGAAAACTAGAAGCTTTGTCTTCTAAGATTGGTTGATGTTTTTTCTTCATGCACAAGTTCTTTCCACATTTGGTTGTCCCTTTTTTGTAGTAAATTTTTTTCCTTTTCTAAACCACACACACACAAATAAAAAGCTCTAATGCAGATCCCTCCTTCTAGCTGGCGTTTTATTATTTACAATCCTTGGATCACACACGCTGGTGTGCTTCTTCCATGTGCAAGTAGCTGACACCTCACTTAACTGGTTGCTTGTTTTAAGTTGCAAATTATTGGGTGATGAGTTTTACTTCATTTAAATGTAAAGAAATTCTCAGGTTGTCTCATTTTAAAAAGGATTTACTAACAGTTCTATCCATTCTGTTTCCATTGCTTTCTAACTCAAAAGGAATACAGTAAGTATTACTCAAGTTGCCTGTTACACACACACACACACACACACACACACACACACCCTTAAGCAACTTGTTTTTAACTTGTCATAGTTTTCATCATACAAGGATTCAGTGCCTTTCATCTTTTCTATTTGTAGTCCACCTCTCATCCGTCAGTTGTTCTTACTAAAGTGGCTAGAGTTTTGTTGTAATGCTGGGAGCGTCCCTACCAGGATGTCAAATATCAGCAAATCATCCGTGGTGGACAGATTTTAGTAGAGCAGCTAGACTAAGACAGACTAAGAAGAAAAACCTGACAATCTACTTCCAAATATTAGCCAATGAAGCTCGTGAGCATCACAGCTAAATATTGCCCAATGTAGTGCTGGAAGGTGAGCCCCTAGCCGAAGCATCCGATGATGATCATGATGCAGCACCGGGCAATGCTGTGTTCTTTGGGGCAAAGGGTTGCCATGAATCACAGTCCACCTAATGGTTCGTGACAACAACATATATATTCTGGTTTGAGGAGGTTTTGCTTGAGGCTCATCACAATAATGTAATCATGGCTTAATGTTCCAATTCTAGAAACTTGATTCCTCAGCATGCCAAAAGATAGGCAGCCTGTCTGTGAATAAGCTCACATTTACAGAATCCACAGCCGAGTGAAGTAAACCAGATGGCAATTTACCAATTTGCAATGTAATCATCATACAGACCCTCCAAACTGTAACAGAACTAACTCATCCTTACAAGAGCCAATTAGGGAGCCCACTAGAACCACAACATTGCTCCCTCAGAAGAGGAGTTTACTCTGTGAACCATGTAGCTGAATTTAAGCCAGGTTACACTAGGGCCAGACAGTCTACTCTGTCTATTGGAGCACTGCTCTCCTGTCATGGCAATGCTAACTGAAAACTGATAGCTATTAGCCCCCTGTCATGATTTTGCTACATGTTCATGTTAATCATCAATTTTTTGATAGCATCTTTTTAACAGCCTATCCTTTCTGCTTTCATCCTGAGCAGCGTGATCTTCCGTTATTATCAGTATTGGTTTTATTTCTATTTACTGCTTCCAATTTGTATTTTGGACTAGCATTTCTAAAGCCCTGAGGTGTGTTAAGATAAGATATAATAGTAATCGCTAATTCTATGTGCATTGGTTTGGTGAATGTGTTTTACGCAGCTTGGATGAATATAGAAAAATATTTAAATGAGATAACATAATTGTGGAAATTTATTGTAAATTATACATTTAGTCAGAGTTGAAGTACCAACCAATGATTACATATTCATGATTTTAAGCTGTGAGCTTTCAATTTCTCTTTATTTCCTACAGTATACCATTTTGTTTCCCATTATCTTTTTTAACAGATGATAGGAAAATAGTTATAATACTATTAACTCTGGCAAAAGTTTGGTGAAGAGCCTTTAATAAAGTGAGATCTTTAGACCTTTTATTTATTGAAGTTAATAAATTTTTCTTTTCATTTTACAATGAATTTTCAGGCAGGTATAAAAGTAGAGAGAATGACATAATTAGCTACTTTATCCCCAGAAGCATCTGCAGTTAGCAACATTTTGCCAATCTTACTAAGTATTTTTTGTCCCGAACTCCGTGAGTTATTAAGATGAGTGTTTCTGTTTTTAGTGCCAGAGGCCCCCGACCGGCCCACCATCTCCTCGGCATCAGAAACCTCGGTATACGTCACTTGGATTCCTCGGGCAAATGGGGGCTCACCTATCACCGCCTTTAAGGTGGAGTATAAACGGGTACGGAGTAGTGACTGGCTCGTGGCTGCTGAAGATATCCCACCTTCCAAGCTTTCTGTTGAAGTTCGTAGTTTAGAGCGAGGTAATTTTATCCAAGTGTTTGTTTTTCTCATCAGTGCCAATTTTAGATGCATAATTTTCCAAATTCTTATATATTTTAATTATTGAATTAATATGCGCTTATTAAATATGATTTGGAAAATAAAACATAAAAAATAATCTACTGGAATCCATCTACCCAGAAATCATCACCATTGTTTATATTTTGGTGCATTTCTTTCTCGCCTGAATTTTCTTTTCAGTATAAATCAGATAATGCCATAAATATTGTTTTGTTATGCTCATTCCTCTGTATTATATTGTACATGTTTTACAGTATCATTTAAAGTTGTGCCGAAGACTCGGTTTCTAATAGCTGTATAACTTACTACATATTTAACCTCTATTGCCAGGTTTCAGATTGTTTTATACAAATATATATATGTAACAAAAAGTGATATAAATGTATGTCTATATATCACTATTTTATTTTCAGTGAAAGTTTGCACAGAAAACCGGGTTCTCATTGGACAGTTTCGATACAGAATTAGTTCCATTGTTCACAGCACGTCCGCGTTCTCTTTCAATGTGTTGTGATGGTTCTGTTTCCAGCGCTTCGGTTTCTCGTCACCTCCTACCACTACCCCTACCTTGCCTTCTCCTCTGTGTGGAGTGCGGATGGGGTCCTCAGTCTGATGAATCTATCACAACTCAATTTTAATGAAAGTTATGACCTATGTTTTCTTAATTTTCGTGATCATTGCCTTTCATTATCAGGATTTTTATAAAGTTGAGCTTTGAACATCTGTGAGTGACTAGGATAACAATAAATTCCATGCTACAACACTGTGTATAGAACACATTACTAATGATAAGGATGATTTTTAAATCCAGTTATAGCTCGGATATGTCTTTAAGTTGGAGCCTGTCTTAAAGTGTTGACTTTTGAGCTCACGTAGATTTTTTTTTTTTTAATACACTGCTGTCTTCGTGAGTAATAATCCTTTCTTTCCTGTGCCAATCTGTGCCTTCCTTAAAAAGTGATCTTGGGATGTTTGGGGTTCAAGGTTTAAAGAGCATGTCAGCATGATAGACTCAGGGGGTCCTCTAGTCTCAACTGATCTAGTAAATTTGGACTTATTAAGGATTTGAGTTCTCTGTTTTTCCTCCATTCTACCCAGACTCATCTATTGTGGTCCTGATCAGATGGTTGGTAGTGGTAGCCGGGCACCATCATCTGGACTCAGGGTAGATGACGTTGTGCTTTGTATGGACTGTTAACCCTATAGACGACTTTTTTCCGAAAGACTTTTGGTTCCTTCTTTAAGACCTCAGATGCTACTCACTTTACTGTGAGAGAGCATACATTTTAAGGCCTATTGTGTCCATTGACTGAATTGTCCCATGAGGTTAAGGTCCTAGCCTTCAAATTCAGAAAACCAGTCTAGCAAGGGGTTTGGTTGTATCTAAGAAGTACCTATAATTGTGTCCTCTGGGAATATGCATGCGTGCGCACACGTACAGATACTTACAGATACTTCTCTTTGTGCACACATATGTACACACCTGTTCTTACCGGTACACATCTATGAGAGGAAGTAAGAAATTGTTGCTTAAAAAAGTCTTGGAGATCATTATTAAATAAAAACATCAAAATGTGAAGCTAAGCTGTTGTTTCTCAACCTTTTCTAGAGCTGTGCCCTTCTGAAGCACGTGTTTCCCCCTTTCTAATCCCTCCCTGAAGAATCCTGTCCTCTAGGATTTAGACCACATCAAGATGACAGCGTTCTTTGCGTTTGGGGAACAAAATATTCTGAAGGGGCAGGATCAAGGATATATCGGGTAGCTGGAGTAAGGGTTCCCCCAAAGATTCTTGTAAGACCATCCCTGAACCCACCCATGTAGCAGCTGGGACCCGAGGAGCAATATTTTGACTTACCCTCATATGCCTAGACACATGTGTGTGACTGCACAATGTTTTTGTTTGTTTGGGGTTTTTTTTTTAGTTATTTTTGATGTTGCTCTCAAATTATGTATGTCTTTAGCAGAATGGTATCTGCTATCATTCACACATATTAAGTAACTTTGCTTCTGTTGTTTCTTTTTCTTTTCTTTTTTTTAAAAATCATTTTATTGGGGGCTTATAAACTCATCACAATCCATACATACATCAATTGTATAAAGCACATTTGTATAAAACTTCTGTTGTTTCTTCCAACGCAAAAATAACCTAGTTTGGAGGACAGGTAGCACAATTTATACTGTATTTGATGGTATAACTTTAGAGTAATATGATAACAAGAGAAAACATGTGGCTACTCCTTATTCTGTCCCTATCTCTCAACAATAGACATTGTTATTCTTTCAGAGTGTTTTTCCCACTGTACCCTAATACAGCCTTGGAATATTGACCCCAATACCTTGAACAGCCACTACCAGTTGATGGAAGTTGGCCAGTTAGGCAAGTTTAGAATGATTTGTTAGTATAGGTAGAAATTTAAATACTATTATCATATTTTTGTACCTCTCCTTGTCTTCTTATAATGTTTTGAAAGTTATGTATGTTTTTTTTTTAACTCCCCCAAAAGGTTCAACATACAAATTTAGGGTCATTGCCATCAACCATCATGGTGAGAGTTTTCGGAGCTCGGCTTCTCGACCTTACCAAGTAGCTGGGTTCTCCAATCGCTTTTCCAACCGTCCAATAGCTGGGCCTCACATTGCATACACAGAAGCGGTCAGTGATACTGAGATCATGTTGAAGTGGACGGTGAGTAAAACATCTTTCCGATTAGAGTATCTTTGGTTTCGGTCATGTTAAAAATAAATGTAATATCCTCCCAACACAAAACTGCTAACAGCAAGTTTTTGAATGTTTGATTTGGGGGGATTGAAGAACACAACTATATATCTAAAAAAATACATAAATGAGGCAGAGTTAAAAACCAAATGATCTCTGAGGCTGTCATCCTAATGCTGGCATTTTCATAATTTATGCATTTTGAACAAATATTCTTTTATATTTTAGTGGCGTTTGTGGCTTCGTTTTCTTGTTCAGCTCTCCTAATTACCTTTTAAAGTAAACTAAATAAAAATGATTATCAATGGTGTTTTTAAAATAAAAGTAGAAAAACTATCAAAAAGACAAATCTTAATGGATGTGAAAATTACACTTATATTTGTTTTTAACAAGCTTTTGCTTCTTTTGTTATTTTATTTGTTTTCAGTACATTCCATCCAGTAACAATAACACTCCCATTCAAGGATTTTATATCTATTACCGGCCAACAGATAGTGACAATGACAGTGATTACAAGAGGGATGTTGTTGAAGGTAAGTCTCATTGGCAGGCTGGGATCCCAGTAGAGGATGTACAAGAATCATGAAAATTGTCAGCTCGGTTTATGATAGGATAAAAATGAAGTTTAACAATGAAATGACGTGCCATTTCCAATTTAATATAGATAAAATTCTACATGTTAGTTGTGGTAATGGGGAGTTAAAATAATACAGAGTAGCTATGCTCTGTCAGTAGTTCATCTGAAAAAAACCTGTTTTCTATTTCGTTTCAATGGTTCAGTATAAAAATGAATTATGCTCTTTGGCTATGTATAAGAAACAACATGACAACCAACCAGTTGTATTGAAGGCTATGCTTTAAAAAGCCTATACCTTGAGCAAGCTACTCACATGTTGAGAGATACTGAGGAATTGGGATGCAGGGAGAGGTAAAACAGCCAGGTATTGAAACTGTGCCTTTCTACTGCATTTAAGATAAAATGAGGATTTGGCCGTTGGTCTCAAGGCCCCACTGGATTTTCCTGGCCTCAGCCCACACCTTCAGTTGTGTCTCATACACCTTCCCCTCTCCCACGTTGTGCTCCTCACACTGACCTGTCAGGCTCTCTGTGTGCACCAAGACTTAAGGTTAGACCTCTGGTGTCTCATGCTTACACAGTACTCCCTCAAATAAAGCCTCCCTGCCACCTCCACTGTCCTGTCCATCAGACATTTTTGTTATAATTTTTAACTGTACTTTTCCTATTTATTTCGTAGAATTTGTCATAGTTGTGTGTAGGTATAAAATTATTTGCTTATAGTTTGTCTTCCCTAAATTTTAACCTCCTTGTGGGCAAAAGACCTTTTCTCCCACTTCTGTCTCCTCAACACCACAATGGCGAGTTGTTCAGTGTAAATTTGAGTCCTCAAAGAGCAATGGAATGACTGGGGATGTTCAGACCAGGGGAAAAAAAGAAACAGATGTTTAAGGGAAGCACCATGACCCCAAATCTCCAAACTAGGTCCACCAAGTTGATTCCGACTATCATGACCCGAGAGGACAGATTAGAGGTGCCCCTTTGGGTTTCCAACACAGTAAATCTCTATGGGAGTGGAAAGCCTCCTCTTTCTCCTACTGAGAGTTTATCACTGTTAACCATATGTGGTTACCAGCCCAGTACTTAATCTACTACACTGCTAGGAGTCTTCTTCAAATAGTTACAGACCATTATGTGCAAGAGGAAGTAACTCAGTTGGGAGGGAGAAATTAACTCAGTCCAGAGGGGAAAAGTAAAAGGAAATACTGTTATTTAAGAATTTTCTAACATACATAATGAAATAGGTTCCCCAGCAAAGTACTTAGCTCCTTCATCGTGCACATGTTGAATAGAGGCTGGATGCCTATTTCTCAGTAATATCAGAGAAGGGATTCTTGCTTTTGGAGAAGATTTAATGTCCAAGGGCTTTTTCTACTCCAAGATTCTGAGTCTTCAAATTTTCAGTGTCTTAATGGATTATGTCAGGATCCCTAGTGGGATAGAGGTTAGGTGCTGGTCTGCTACGGTAAGGCCAGCAGTTTGAAACCTCCAGCTGCTTCACAGGAGAAAGACGGCTTTCTACTCTCTTAAAGGGTGAACTGTCTCAGAAATTCACGGGGGCAGTTCTGCTTTAGGGTCACTAGGAGTCAGTATCGACACAGCAGCAGTCAATGTGGTTTGGTTTTCTCCTCCTGTAAAGAGTTACCATCTCAGAAACCAGCAGAGGCAGTTTTACCTTGTCCTGTAGGGTGACAATGAGTTGGAATCAACTCAGTGGCAGTGATTTTGTTTGTTTGTTTGTTTGTTTTGTAATTATGTCAGAAAATAGTCCTAGGCCAAGATTACTTTTGTATACTTTTTGACCTCAGAATTTACATAGTTTTTTTATAAGTAAATAAGTACTTTAGATATGCCATGTCACATTTCTTAAAATGTTAGAGCATTCTTTTTAAAGTTCAGCCAATGGAATTACTTTTGCCTAGTGAAATAAAAAATTCAGTTAAGATATGGTACATTGTAGATGCTCAATACATATTTATTGAATGAAGAAATGAATTTCTTTTTTTAAATTTTATCTTATTTTTTTTTTTGTAAAGGCTGTTGATTTTCTTTTTTCGATTTGGAAAAGTAGAAAAGAAATTGGTTTCTAACATCTGCATTAAGCATAAAGTATTGGAAAGATGATAGTGGCAATATTTATCTATGCTCTTAGAAGTGAAGATAGTAGCTACTTTTAGGGAAGAGTAGTGACGGAAAGGGGGCTTTTAGAATACCAATAATGTTCCATTTTTAAACCTAAATATTGGTCCCAGGATGTGGATACTCATTGAATTGCAGTTATGTTCACCTATTATACTTTATTATAAAAACCATATCTTAAAAAAAAGAAATGGAAATATCATAGTGACTATTCTGCGTTTTAGTCATAGGTAGGTTTTTGTTTTAGTTCAGGTGGATTAGAATTCAAGTGTCAATATTTTAAATTTTAAAACATTTTTACAAAAGTTAAGCATTTATTATAAAATAGTTGTGAGCAAAGCATATGCAAGTAAGCTTTATGTCCATACCTGTCTTTTTCCATCTCTGTCTCCTCACCCTGCCTGCTTTTTAGTTCTACACTCAGAAATATTCAGTGGGAAGCCATTTTAAAACTATATTATCTCAGTTAAATTTTTGGACTTTTACAGTATTTGTGACTATTGAGCATGAAATAAGAAATTACTTTAATGAAACCTTTGTCTTCAGTAATAATGTTTGCAAATGTAGTTCTGCTGTATGGTTTTCAGAGAGCTTGTTTATAAATGGAATATCCTGAGCAGTTGAATGTTCAAATAGGCTTCACTGTACTGTGTAATTTGCTGATCCTCTATTTTCAAGTTTATGCATTTGAAACTCTTGTTTTGTGGTAGCTAGAAACTATTGGTTTGTTCTCCAAAACCCCGGAGCATAAGCATTCATTCCTTATGCATTCATTTTTTAATAAAAATTTTTAGTAAAATTTCTTCCTGTGAAATGAAGTTTTAGATCACTTCTGTGTATTGACTGATGCTTTTAAAGTCTTTGAAATAAAATCTGAAATACAATTTAATTTTAAAAGAGAACAATGAAGTTTTTGTATTTTCTGAATTAAGTTCCATATTTTGATGAACTATAGATTTTCTGCATATCAGTGCTTCTGTGATGAATGCTTTGACCTTATAAACTTAGTTTGAGTTCCAAATAAGGAAACCATCGGTCATCATGAGCTTATTTGAGCCTGTGCTTGGCTTTTCCCTGTGGGAAATTCTCACTTCCTAAAGGACCCAGCCATGGCGACAGGGTAGTGGGTTTTTCTTTTGTTGTTACTTTTTATTGTGACTTGTGTAAAACACTGTTTGTAGAGCCACTCCGTTTTCCTCTCCACATTTCATACGTATTTTGTGTCATGTCATTTATTGCCAGTCCCCACATGGGTCATTACTCTTTTCACTTTTCCCTGTGTTGCCTATTTCCATTCCTTGGTTCTTCAGAATGTTGCCCTTGGGCCAATACTGCCTTTTTGGTCTAAGATGACTGATTATGCTAAGTGCAGTGTCCCTTTCCAGTGTTACCAGTCACCTTCCGAAAATTGGGTCATGACGAAAATGGAGTCATGATGGCAATTTCAGTTATAGACCTGAAGGGTAAACAAAGGTCGTATAGCATTGGGAGTTCTACCATCTCTAGCTGACTAGTTAGCCTGGTCTTTTTAATTATTTTGAATTTTGTTCCACGCTTTTCTTCCCTGCTATCCAGTACCTTCTCATATGATCCCTTTCAGAGCAGCTAGCAGTAGTAGTCAGATAGCATCTCCGTATGGCCCCAGGGTTGTTTCCTTTCCATATAAAGTTGGTGATTCGTTTTTCCACCTCTTTACAGAACGATGCTGGACTCTTTTTCAGGGTTGGATTATATCTATAGGTCTCTGGGTAAATTTTATTTTCACAATGTTAATTTTTCTGATCCATGAACATGGTATATAATTCCATTTCAGAAGATCTCTTTTAATGAAAAGTTGTTTATTAAGCAAAGGCTATACTTTCACCATTTTAGCCATTGAAAGACTTATCGGGTGGGGGGTGGGGGAAATGAGCTGATACCAAGGGCTCAAGTAGAAAGAAAATGTTTTGAAAATGATGATGGCAACATATGTACAAATGTGCTTGACACAATGGATGGATGGATGGATGGATAGATTGTGATAAGAGCTGTAAGAGCCCCTAATAAAATGATTTATTTTTTTTAAAACGATTTTTAAAATTATCAAAACATTTGAATATTAATCCAACAAGATTATTTCTGAATCCAACATTTCAAAAACGGGGTTTAAGTTCACCTTGATTAGTGCTGAAGTAGTTTAAATTGGGTGCTGTAGAAGCATATTGAAAGTATCATAGACTGTGCTAAAAGGACAAACAGACCTGTCTTGGAAGGCGTCTAGCCAGAGTGCTCCTTAGCGGTGTGAATGTGAGACTTAGTCTTCCATACTTTGGACAAGTTGGCAGGAGAGACCAGTTCCTGAACGCAGAATGACATCATGTTTGGGAAAATAGAGGGACAGAGAAAGCGAGGAAGGCCCTCAGGAGATGGATTGGCACTGTGACTGCAACAATGGGCTCAAGAATGATTGTGATGAAGGCTGCAGGACAGGGCAGGGTTTTGTTCTGTTCTGCATACGGTCGCTATGGGTCGGTACTGACGTCGTGGCACCTAACAACAATACCATGTAGTGTGTGATCATTATTCTAGTACTCTAGTCTTAGGAATAAGTCCTTTTCAGTTTCAATCAGGTTTTGAGGTAAGCTTTTTTCTGCGTCTTTTGTCCCTTGCTGTGAGTCAAAATCCAGTTGATGGCAATGGGTTTGTTTTGCTTTGGTGCGTTTAGACTACATAGGTTCACAGGCTTCACTTCCTGAGTCTTTCAGTGGCCCGTGACCCTACAAGAACTAGAATATGTCCTTATAAAATAAGAATCTGAATGTGTAAGGAGGTGGCTTGCAGCTTTAAATATCTTTATCTGTGTTGAATTAGAAAGAACCCTGACCATAAATGGTCCTACCAGCCAACTAAATTTGGGGTGTGTGTGTGTGTGTGTGTGTGGTTTTGTTTTGCCCTTTTATAATTAATTCTTAAATCAGTTGGTGGTATAATTGGATTTCTAAGAAACATGGAGATAGTTTGAAGAATTAACATGCAAGTGCTTGAAGAGTTCATTGATCCAGCAGAAAAATCTGTGCATTAAAGTCGGTCACCAGGCCACTAAGTGAAAATGGAGAGTGATACATACTGGAGTGTTCACTGTAGAAGTGTTTCTAGATGAAAGGAGGGCAGGGTACCATTGAGAATGGAATTATTCATTAGAGATGCTTTTGTGGTGTGGAGGCTCTAGCTTAAAAGAGAAGAAAGAAACAAGTAGGAGCAATACCTAAAAATTTCCCTTGTAAGGTACCATTTGCTAATCTGTATGGTATTACCTTCTACTGAGAAGACTTAGATTTGTTGGGTAAAATATGAATCCAGAAGACTTGAGACTTTTTACCTCTGTGCATTAAGCTAACATGTATTTTAGAACGAATCATCATTCTGGTTTTTAAATGAGATTGTATTGCTTCCAGGAAACAAGTATAGCTCCAATTCAGCATCCAACCTCATCTTGAAAATATTTGCCCTATCATGTAGGTTTCTTGAGGTTTCACCTTATGTTTTCTTTTTCTTTTCCAGGTTCAAAGCAGTGGCACATGATTGGCCGCCTGCAGCCAGAAACCTCCTATGATATTAAAATGCAGTGCTTCAATGAAGGCGGAGAGAGCGAGTTTAGTAATGTGATGATCTGTGAAACCAAAGGTAGGAGATGGGGAGGGATTTTGCTTTATTCTTGGCAGTAGGAGAATCCTAAATTCTGGATTATTCTCTCTGACTGGATATATTTATCTAAGGAAATGTATGTCTTGACTACTTTCTAAGTAATACATTCAGACCATCCCAACAGAAAGTGTAATATATGGCCTTAATGTATGTCTACTTTCCAGTGAGGAAGAGTTCATTTATTTAAAGGGCAGCCTCATTTTTCTTGATTGTCAGCTGTTTCGCATAGTTGAAGTGGCTAGAAAATTGAACTCCAATTTAGTATTGCTTGTTGAAGCATTTTTTTAAAATAAAGACTGCTTCTTGTAAGGTGGCATCACAAGAAGCATAGTTTAAGACATAATAATATAGCAAAATTGGTTGACCACTTCACATGTGCCAGGCTCACTTCTAAGCACTTTACATTGACTAACTCATTTAATCATCGTTACAACCTTTGCTAGACTCATTGTTAACATCTCTATTTTCAACAAGCAGAAACTGTGGTTCATGGGGGTTAAAATTTTGCAGCTAATGTTAATTGGACAGACTGGCATATAAACTGGGCAGTGTATTTCAGAAATTGGGTTCTCAACCACTGCCTTGTCAGAGCATGATAGCATCAAGAGCATGCTTTGGGGACAGAGAGAGGAAGGTTCACGTCTCTCATGTTTGACCATTTTTTAATTACTACCAGAATACCAGTGAATTCGATACAAGCATTGCATTTACATGGACAGTTTTCATATCTGGAAACTTGGTGTTCTGTGAGGTTGTTTAAATTACATATGATGGTTCTCTAGTCCCTGGATGGTGCAAATTAATTAAGTGTTCAGCTACTAACCAATAGGTTGGCAGTTTTAATCCCTGCAGCCACCTTGGAAGCAGATCCTGGTGATCTACTTCGTAAAGATCACAGCCATTGAAAACCTTACAGAGAACACTTCTATTCAGACACACGGGATTTTTGCCACAAGTGGAGTCAACTGGATGTCAATCGGCTATTGGTTATGTTTATTCTAAGAGTATAAAGCCATATATTCTAATAATAATCACATGAGCATGAAATACATAATTTTGAGTCTAATTTTGCACAAGATATGTTAGATGTAAAAGTTTTTATACCGTCCATAAGTTGAAAACATTTATTTCAACACACATGTGAGTCTTCTATAAGTATAATCATAGCAACTTATATTACACCAAGTGCATGTTTCTGTATTTTTTATAATTGCTCTAAAACTTGTGGACTAAATCTGTTCAAGATCTGAAACTTTGGCACATCATATTTTCAAACTTTTGAGCCCTCACTGTGACTCATTGATGGTGAGACCATCGCAGTAGCAAGTGTAAACAGAGTGGCTTGCATTCTAGCCAGACCTCCTTCAGGGAGTAAGCTGTTTCATAGGGCCTGTATTCACTCTGAAATCATGTCTTCCTTCGCATTTCAACTAGTGAAACGCGTTCCCGGAGCATCTGAGTACCCTGTCCAAGACTTGAGCACCCCTCCAAATTCCTCAGGAAGTGGAGGCAACGTGGGTCCTGCAACAAGCCCTGCCAGAAGCAGCAATATGTTATACCTGATTGTTGGCTGTGTGCTAGGCGTCATGGTGCTCATTCTTATGGCTTTCATTGCAATGTGTCTGTGGAAAAACCGCCAGCAGAGTACCACACGGAGTAAGTAACTCCTAGCTATTTCCTTCTCTTTCTCAAAGGATGGGTAGAAAAATAGACTCAACGGTGGCTTCTAGAACATTAGTGTGTGTGTCAAAGTGTACAATGTATGTGCTCTCCTTTATCCAGAGCAGATGACTTTAAACCCCTTCTAGCTGTCAGCCAAAGTAAGTGGAGCATCAAATGAAATTTCCCAGTAGAAACAAACAACAAAGCTCCAACTAAGCAGGTCTCTACATAAACAGCGGAGCTCGTGCTGGGTAATTTTGGCTTTGGTGGGCCACCAAAGAGGATGCGTGCTTGAAGCATGATGGAAAGGAAGACTTCTAAGTTACTACCACAGAGCGAGACTCACAACGAAGGCAACACAGCCCTGTTTCTATTCTTGATGAACCAGGACGCTCCATAGTGGCATCCTCTTCCCCACAATGCATCTAGGAATAGGTTATGCTTGATCTGGTAGAAGTGGCAGTATTTTGAAGCACCTCACCTAGAACCCCACCCTCCTTCTCTTTGCTCAATTCTCTCCCCTCACCTTCCTTCCTCTTCCAGCCACCTGCAGTTGTTCTAAAATAGGATGATGAAGTCAAGACTTTAGTCTTTGGTGGGAGGAAGTTTTTTTGTTTCCCCCTATCATCCCAGAATAAGGAGCTGTACCAGAAATTCAGCAACGAAAAGAATTTCCAGCACTGTTCAGCCAGTCCTAACTTTGATCCCTTTCCATTACTTGTTCACAGAGTAGAAAGAATGATTTGCTTTTATTGGCTTGATGCCCTTCAGGATATTGGCAGGGACAGAATGGTGGTGCTGCCAGGCTCAAAGTGCGTGTGATGATTTGATTGGGCTTTCTCTGAGTCTAATACCATTCCTTTTGTGTGTATGCTGAATGATGAAAAGAAAAGTACTTGTCTGGTTGTCTGAGCAAGGCTAATCTGATTAATTTTCTTTTGTGACCTGATTATTTACATATATATATTTTGTTCTAGTGAAATTTCATTCAGTTACTTAATCAGCAGAAATGTGGTGATTCTCCTATTTGCCTAGCAGTGTGTTGGATAACAAAGACCTAATAGCAATAAAATAAATAAAATTTTCAATTCAGTGGTGAAGATAGCAGGTATGCTGACAGTGGATCAACTGTGGAAGAAGTACAGCGATAGAGAAACCGTAGAGAGAAGAGATGCTTCATCTAGCCTTGGAAAGCTCTAGGACCTTTGAAAGATTATCCAAACTGACAGCAGACACGGTACTTTCATAGTGGGTTATGCTTTGGACTGCTAACCACAAAGCAGTGTGAACCTAGCAGATGCAGTCCAGGAGAAAGATGAGGCTTTCTGCTTCTGTAAAGACTGGCAGCATCAAAACCCCAATATAATATGTTGTTAGGAGTTGGAACCCACTGGGTAGCAGTGGCCCGAGAGGGCGGCAGAATGGAAGGGAAAAGGGAAGCGGCATGGTTTTCCCAAATGTATCCAGTAGGTATGATCCTGGAAATTGGGAGTTTGAAGCAGTTGCTTAAACTCTTTTAAAATCTATGGAAACAAAATAATTCGTCTTTTGCCTTTGTTACCCCACAGCCTCTAACTTGGTTAGACAGACCAAGGAACTGTATGAATAGCTGGTGAATGTATAGTAGGATGTTGTCCACTGCTGTTTGAGGGAGCCAGTTTAAGGGAGTCTTTTGGTTGCTGTTTTGAACAACTTTTCTTCACCATTTTGATAGCTTTACTTGCACATTTATTTACTCTCTTTTTAAGTTTTGTCTCCTTGGTTGATTTCTTTTTCCATTTACAATCATAATTAACTCAGAGTTCATAGGTAAAGCCATATCGCAAAGGAAATAGCACCCAGTGGTAACTTTATTCAAGCATAGCTCACAAAGACGCTTTCATTGAGCATTTTTGGGAATATTTTAGTGTATTTCTAGCTTCGTAGAGGTTTCCTTAATAAAATCAACGTCCTATTCAAGAAGATTGCCATTTTCAATGATCTTAACCTTTTGTTTTCTCTTAACAGAATATGACCCACCAGGCTATCTCTACCACGGATCAGATATTAACGGGCAGATGGTGGAATACTCCACCCTGGCTGGCACAAACCGGATCAATGGCAACGTTCACGGGAGCTTCGTAAGGAATGGTAGTCTCGGCAACGGCTGCTCACATTTTCACCACAAAGTCTCCAACAGCGTCAATGGACTTATGAACGGGAGCTTAAATGGAGGCCTTTGCTCTGGGCACACAAACTCTCTGACCAGGACACACGTGGATTTTGAACGTCCTCATCACCTAATGAATGTAAGAGACCTTGCAGTCATACTGGAGAGCCTTGAACCTGTGCCTCCACACACCGAGCTATTGAACAAACAGGGTCAGCACACACAGCTCCTTTCTTTTTAAAAAGAAAGCTCAAGGGCGTTCTGTAATAGAAATGCCAAGGGGTCTCCAAAAAGTTCACGGGAAAATAGAATGAAACGATAATGAATTTTGTCCTTGAACTTCTTGAAGTCCTCTTGTATCAGTAGAAGCCTGTAGGTCCAAAAATGACTTTTGTACAGTTTCTGTCATCAGGTAATAGTTGTGTTTGTCAGTTTGGTTCATTTGGACATTTTATAGTAGTGGCTCATACAGTGTCTGTCCTCTTGTAATTGACCAGGACTTTTCTTTTCTTCTGTTTCTTTTGATGCCGTGTGTTTCATTGTTGCCTATATGATTTTTGCTTTTATGATATTAATCCTTTTAAGACAAATACAAACAAATTTGTCTTGAAAGAGATACCTCCAGAATGCTCCTTAGAGGCTGGATGGTGAGATTTAAAAAAAAAAAAAATTTTATTGGGGGCTCGTACAACTCTTATCACAATCCATACATTCATCCATTGTGTCAAGCACAT